GAGGGCCAGCATCCTGTCTGAGAAAGCTGGGGTCCTCTGCCTTGGCCAGGGGAGGCAGCGGGACCAGGACCTGCCCCAGGTCAACTGGCATCATCTGGCTTGGCAAGTTCTTTGGCTTCAGGCGAAGTGCTTGCGGGGCGGCTGGGCACTCTGGGAGAAGCAGGTCTTTGCAAAGCCTCTTGCAGGAACACTAGAGGGGGAAGGACGTTGAGTGCTACTCAGAGGAGAATGGCGTGTTTTCACAAAGAGCAAAATGCATATACCCCAATGGAGATGACTTTGAGTGGACTAGTGTAGTATTAAGTTGGAGTGGCCAGCCTGCTTTCCCTACACTGTCTTTGAAGATGGCCTGTCTTCCCACAACTACAGCACTTTCTTCCAGGTCTGATATAATTTGCCAATGCAGCTCCCATGAGGCAGGCCTTGTATTCCTCTGTCTCTACATTGCTGCATATCCTAAGATAATCAAGCAGTGTGCCTTGTTCCCTGTAGGGACACGGCATTTTTACAGTGTTTATTAGCGAAATCATAAGATAGCTTATGTACTAGGTCTCTTACTGCCTGGACATTCTTCACACATTTGGAAATAGCATCTTCCAGTCAGGACACAAAGTCACCAAAGGATTCATCATTTGGCTGTACTATAGCCCTGTACCTCGGCTTTCTCTCTTATGATGGAATTATCTTTCCCGAGGCCCTATGCAAACTTCACATATCTGTCCTATTGTCTGTTCAGTAAACTGTAGTTGAGATTCAACTGTCATAAAATTCTCTTCCCCTAGCAATTGATGAATTCCTATATCTATGCCCTCTTCTAAATTCTTGAATGCTCGTGAAAGGGCTGCTTCCTTCCACAGCATTTGATATTGCAGACATTCTGAGGAGTAAAGACAAATTTTCGATAAAGCTCTCCAGTCTGTAGGAGTCTAGCTCTGGGACTCTGCTAGAGCCCTTATCATGCTAATTACAAAATGTGAGTCTGGGCCATAATCATTGACTGCCTGCTTGAGATCTTTTAGCAACTTAAGGGGAAAGGCACTGTGAATTCCTTGTGTGTGTTTCCCGCAAGGCTGTCTGCTAACAACTCTAACAGGATAAGACATTCTAAATTCTAAATCTCCTTCTGTAATCCCTCTTTCTACTCTTGAGAGTAAAGTGCTTTTCTATACTTAGCTTCTCTACTTCTTTGAGCTGCTCTTCTTAACCTGTATATCTCTAAGTTGCACTTCCCTAACTACAGTACTTCTGTGTCAGCTCTCCTAGTTTGCATTTCTTTGGAGCGAATCTCTCTACCTCCAGCACTGGCTTGCTGAATTGTTTTACAATCTCTGGTCTTTCTTACACTAAATTCCAGCAGGGGAGCAGATGCTTTTACTATTTCCCCTTCTGACTCAGGCTGTTTTTTCAGCTCTGCCTAAATCTTCTCATCTGCCTGAAACCCATTCTGACTGCTTCTCACCTGATTTAAGTTTGCGTATCCTAGATGCTGCTTAGATGCTAGATTCTGTTTCTTTGCTCTCTCACCCGGCAGTGGCTCCAACACTGTTTTAATCTACACCCAATGCACCCAGGTCTCCATGGGTATGCTCTGTCCTTCCCTGTGAGCTCTTCTTAAGTTAATGGCTACTTTATCCCAGATCTCCATATCAAAGGTTCCTTTCTCTGGGAACCTTTTTACTACTTTCAGAAAACATTGCATCTTTTTCCTTACTTTTACATCCTGTCTTTTCAGTAAGTACATAAACTTAGTACCATAAGTTTCAGGTTTACTTTCACCTTGCCCGATTGTTCTCTTTAAAATACTCATTCACTATTTCCACTATTATCTGCCAATCCCCACACCGTATCCTCAATTTTCCGATACACTCTACATTCCCGTGGGGCTGTACAATTGTTACATGGGATATAACTCATTGCTACATGATGGGGGCCATTTGTAGTATTAAGTTGGAGGGGGGGGCAGTCCCCCACCACTACCCATGGGTTCAGTAAGCACAATTGTACGGTTGAGATATATAAATATTATATTAAAGTCATCAAGAGCATGAGAGATAGAAGAGAGATTGGAATAATGGCATCAGACACATTTCATAGTAGCATGCTCACCTCCTGGATGGCCATGATCTTACCAGCC